AAGTAAGTTTATATACAACTTTTTCAATTAATTTCACTGAATCCTCTCAGTTACCATGTGGCATCAGGATTATTATTGATATGGAAACTGAAGCCCTAAGCTCAGGTCACAAAGCTGGTAACTGGGTATGCTGGAATTTCAGACAAAGTCTGACTCCAGTGCCTTGTTCTTCACCACCCTGCATCTCTTCGTGGATCATAAGTATACCCCAAGTTTTGAGAGTATTCATAAAAAATAGTTATATATTCCACAGACACCCTTAACCACAGTAGATGACATTCTGTTGGAGTCTTTTTCAGGGCCAGTACTAATCATCCGCATGCACATGAAGTTGTTATGGACTGAACTGTGTCCCCTCAAAAGTCATATGTTGAAGCCATGATCCCCAGTGTGACTATTTGGAGATACGGTCTTTAGGAGGTAATTAAGGTTAAATGAAGCCATAAAGGTGGAGCCCTAGTCCAATAGGGTTGGTGTCCTGGTAAGAAGAGGGAGACCGCGCCCTCTCCTGCTACGAGGACCCACGAGAAGCTGGCCATCTGCACGCCAGCAAGAGAGCCTCCAACCGGCACCGAACCCTGCCGGACCCCGGTCCTGGCCTCCCCAGCCTCTGTGAGGTGTGAGGAAATCAATCCCTGCGGCCCGAGCCACGCGGCCTGTGGTATTATCACAGCTAGAGCTGACTAAGACTCGAGTCAAGAGAGCAGCTTTGACCGAGTGCTCGGACCTGCCGGCGTTTGGACAGGTCACAGAACAGCTTGAATTCTGGGGATGGAATCTGGGTTCACATAAACGAACGGGCCGCATCCCGCCTATACAATTGTAGTTAACAGATTATGCAATAAAATGACACAGAAGTTGTGACTAAAATGCCACAATCGCACGGCATCCCCTTCGTGTACGTATGTAAAGAAGTGTGACGCTGTTGTGCCTTTGGGAAAGTGAAGGCACAGCGGAGTATCTGGGATTTCCACTGACTTAAAAGCCACGGTGCTACAGGAGGCTGGGGCAAAAGGAGGGCAGCGACTCGATGGGGATGTGCCCCGGGTGTCCTCGCAGCCTGAGTGTACCGGACATCTCACAAACTGCCCTCTTGGCCGCTGCATGCTTTACCACGGATTAAGAAGAAACAATGGCATTTATTTGAAAAAACAAGTGATCAAAACCCCACAGCAAAGAATATTCCATGCGTTTGTCACGGCACCAAGCACTTCCTCTTGCAGCAACTGCGGACCCAGACTGAGGTCATTCTGGTTTATACTAATGGCCAAATGCAGAGGAAAAGCAGCACATGTCCCAGAGAGATTGCTTCCCTCTAGAGAGACGTTTTCCTGGCAGGGAAACAGCAATCACACAAAAATATAACAGGAAATAGTTGAATAAAGTAAAAAACATAAATCCTACCCACAGTGGAGAATTTTAAAATTGAATAATAATCTGGAAAAAGAATAGTAGCAAATGAACAGTTGGGTGGTACCTGACGGCTCTTCCCCAGTAGGAATGTGGTGAACAGGGAATTCACATCATAGTCAACAAAAGATGTGGAAGGAAAAAATCAAGGACATCCGCTATATTACAAGTCCGGGAGCTCAGTGGTAGACAGATTCACTCAAAGAATGGTGAATGTAGCTTTGCTTGCTACGAGGTGTTTGGACGGATGAAATATTTTGATCCTACACCCAGTTTTGTCGAATGTACTTTTACTGGGTGTAGACCCCAGGCTGCCGCACCTGACGCCCAGAGGTCTGTATTGCTTGGGATAGAGATCAGAGGTAAGAACTGGTGGCCTGTGGACTTCATCAGGCACACAGACTGTGTTTTATTAATTTGAGCCGACGCTTAAAAATAAGTAGGTGTCAGATGAAAATGGGCATTTCCATCCTGTTATGGAAATTCAGAAGACCTGGCGACACTGGGATTGCATTCTCACAGGGCAACAATGTGTTGAAGCTAGGACACGTTTAGACAGGGCACGTGCTCTCCCTCTGAAACCTCCTTCTGAATTGTACCCTGCTGCCCCCCATTCGTAAGTTGAAACCCTAACCCCCAAAGTGACTGTATTTGGAGACAGGGCCTTTAAGGGGGCTGTTTAGGTTAAATGAGGTCATAAGGCTGGGTTCCTAATCTTGATTTTTCCCTACTCCCTTGTGCACAGGCTTACAGAGGAAAGGCCATGTGAGGACACGGCAAGAGGGCGGTCATCTGCAGGCCAGGAAAGGAGGTCTAAGGGAAACCAATTCTGCTGGACCTCAACCTTGAACTGCCAGCCTCCAGAACCATGAGAAAAAAATGGCTGTTCTTCCCACTGCTCGGTCTGTGGCACCTTGTGATGGCAGTTCAAGCCCACTAATATAGAGCTCAGGCTCTGGAGAAGAGAGTTGTCTGAGAATTCTTCCCTGTGGCCCACCCTACACACTTGTCATCTGACCACTTCTCTGAGACCATTCCCTCCCCATTCCTACTACACAGTTCTACTTCTGACTCTAGGATCCCTTCAGGATCTGTGGCCTTTTAACTGGAACTTCCATCTTATCTGCACCCCACCTCTGTTCCCCCTTAAAACCCAGCCACCCCATGCCTGAAAGAATGCTCCATCTAAGAGTTAAAACAGATCCACATCAGTCTTGCTGTCAGGCCCTCATGGCCACAGTGGCTCCCAGACTCTTGTGTTCCTAGCACCATGTGGGGTACTAAGTCCTGTGCAGGAAACAAAGCTCAGGTCATCGGGATGGACCATGGGGGTGTTAGCATGCATCAAAGCACCCATGAAGCGTGTGGGCTGTAACAAAGTGCCAAACAAGAGGTGCAAATAGAATTCAATACGGACACGAGGGAGTTACACATTTATTCCCACGGGAGGCCTGGGCATGTCTCCTGGAGGAGATATCATCATGGAAGATGGGACAACCTCGGACTAGTGGGCATGGAGTATGGAAGGGCCCTAAAGTGCATGCGTCCTTCCTGAGCCTGTGAGTTCTCCAATGCACATTCTAGAATAAGTAAGTGAATGGGGTCAGTGAGCAAGATAAATGCCTACTCAATATAATGGCAGCAGAAGCAAACATTTGAGGCCATGAATGGTCAGTAAATCGTGCTTTTGATTCAAAGATTTCCAGCTCAATCCACTCTCAATCCTAACAAAACCAAGAACCGCTCTCAGTTTAATTCAAGTCTATACGAAATCTGATAAACAATGTGATCCTGACACAACAGCATGTACTTTCACATTGACATCATCAGGTGGAAGATACAATGTACTTTACCCCAAAGATCTGAGTCAATGTCATTTCCAATATGATGTTAGTATACAAGCTATAAAGAGGGTAGTCATTCAACATATGTACCAGAAGTTGGCTCTTGGACCGCACCATTCCCTTCTTTAGATATTATCTCTCAGTTCCTTTTCAAAGAATCATAAGCTTATTAATTTTTACATATATCAAGCATGTTCTGCTTCAGCTATCCTTTTATTTAAAAAAAATTCTGTTCAACTGCACAATCACATTAAAACATTGCATCGCTTCAACTCTAGACCTTATTTATTTTATTCTTCTTTTATTTCTTGAGACCACAGTCCTCTCCTTTTTGAGTTATTTTAATCTGAGGCACTTAAAATTTTTGGCTTGAGTAATTTCAAATTAGTTTCTTTCCAGAAAAATAAGTGGGTAGGAGCATACTTTGAGCACTTGCATTTCTGAAGATCTTAGACAGAAGTAATGGTTTAATGAGGTATGAAATTCTAAGATTACAATTCTGTATTTTCAGACCTCTGGAAACATTGCTCTGTCATAGTGTAGAAGTTAGTACTGTAGATGAAAACTGTTTCTGATCTGGTCCTCTTCCCTTTTCAGGTAAACTGCTTGCTTATTTTATTTTTTTTTTCTTCTTTGTTTCTCCCCCCAAATTTCCCTTTATCTTAGAATTCAGCAGCTAGGTTTGTGTTGTTTTAATTATTCATTCTTGCAGTAAGGGAGCTCTTTCAAACTGAAGACTTATTTGGTTCTCTAAATGTTAAATAAAAGCCGCCTTCATTTATAACCAGGTATCTTACTCAAGTCATGGAATGGGTTCCTTTCCTATGCATAGCAGAGCACAGAGGTAAACAGTTATTTTTCCTAATACCTCACAAAATTTGGGTCAAAGCACACATATTAAATGTTTGTTGTTTGCCTTACAATTTAAAAGGCAACAAGCAGCATCAGGAATTCATGATTTTTTTTTTTAAATTTTTTATTCTACAGTAGAGTGCACAGAAAATGCTTTCTGGGTGCTAACTTGGAGAAGCATTGCTAAGCTTGCTACAGCTAAAGCTCTGAGAAAAATCCTAGCAAACCATGTAGTAGTTTGTTCCCTTTGAAACGCTGGTGACTTGGTGCCCACTTTCTTGCAGGCCGTTAGCACCATGCGCAGCTCTTGGGGAGCCTGCCACGCTATTCTGCTTCTGGTTCTGAAAGAGAAGCAAACGTTCTGGGAGCACTGGGGTTGAAATTACTCAATGAAATAGAAGTGCTATATCCTCAGCGGTTGAAGTCACTTCTCCAAAGGGAACAAGCCACACCTACCGACAGCTCTGCCCTAATTCTGTGATTGGAAGGAAAGCTTTGCGGTCACGCTAAAAGATCTTACAGTCTCCTGCCATTTGTGCTCCTAAAACAAAGTGCAGAATGACTACACCGTTGCAGGAAATGAGATGCTCGCGTTAGCCATCCCTGTGGATTGCAGACTGGGGAAGTAATCGAGGGGGGAAAATTCCCAGAGAAGCTCATTAATTAGTAATAAATAGGCAATTGGCCAAAATCACAAGGTGTGGAAAGCAGCAAAATCACCCGGTAATGTGTTCTCGGCCAAATCACGAAAGTAAATAATTTCCGTGTGCAAATCAACGTAGCGACGATTTTAGCCTGCCCCACCTCCCCGCACACTTCTGCGACCGTAGCCCACCCGGTGCGGAACGAGAGGGGCCCTGCGCCCGGGGCGGGGCGCGCGCCGACGGCACCTACCCAGCAGCAGGAGCCGGTGCGTCTGCTGCAGGTCGCGCTTCTGCTCGCGGAGCATGCGGTCGATGCTCCTGCTGACCTTCCTCGCCTCGCGCTCCGCCTCGCGCTCCGCCTCGCCCTCCTCGGCTCGCAGCTGCTCCGGACGCCGCCGCCGCTCCTTCTTCGGGGTGGCTTTGGGCCGCGTGCACGCCGGGCTCCCGCCGGCGCCCCGAGGGAGCGGGGTCGGGGCCGCGTCTCCCCCCACCGCCGCCGGGGCTCGGGCGGGGGTCGGGGCCGGGGCCGGGCCGGGCCGAGCGTCTTCCGCAGGCTCTTCCGAGGCGGCGCGGGGGACGTCCTCCGGATCCCCGAAGAGCAGCGGCCGCAGACTGTAGCACAGACCCATGTGGACGCGGGGATGCGGGGGGGGCGCGGGGCTCAGGCTGGGGTCCCGGCGGAGGGGCGGGAGGGGGCTGCACCCGGACCCGGCGCGGCGCTGCCGCCCACAGGCTGCGGGCTGGGGGTGCGGAGGGCCCGGGCCGGGCGCCACGGCCCCTCACTGTCCCGGAGGGCCATTTTGCATTTTCCGCTGGGTGCAGGGGGTGGCGGCCGCCTGGGCTGGAGATCACCTGATAACGCGGCGAGCGGGCCGCGCCGACGGGCCTCCGCGAGCCCGGCCCCCGTTACCGTAAAAACCGCCGCCGGGACCGGCACCCCGTTACCGTAAATACCGCCGCCAGGGCCGGCCCTCGTTACCGTAAATACTGAAGCCTTGGTGGTTCCATTGTAAATACCACCGCCGTCTCCACTCTGGTTACGGTAAATATAGCCGCCTGGCCCGGCCCCCAAGACCGTAGGCACCGCCTCGCGTTCGAGTCTTCCATACCGTAAATACGGTTGCCCGAGCCCGGCGTGCAGCTGCGGACAGTGCCGCAGTGGCGGTGGTGGTGCCGTCACCACCCAGAGCTGCCATTGCAGCACTTAGAAAACCACCGTGGCTTCGATCTGGGGCAGTGGTAAATAAGAACGGGAAGCCTGACAAAGGGATAGAGATGCTAGCTTTCAGATCTTGAATTGCCGGATGTATTACCTGCAGAGATCACCGCACCTTGCCTCTCCTTTTTCACTTACATCTTACACACAACCAGACACATCTGCACGCTTTTGATCCTTACCTTAATTCTATTATGCCTTTGATCTCGACAAAAATCTCCAAATCAGGAGGTCCATGACATCATTTTTAACAATCACACTTATTAAAACATTGAGAAGGAGAACATGTAATTGTCATATACTATTTTTATTTGTTAAAACGAATATATGAAATTGCACTCTGTATCCTATTTTTTAATCCACAGTACAAGGTCAGAGAGGAGCAGAGGCGTATTCAGACCGGGTGCCCTTTCTCCACGCCTCCTATGGATACAACCCCAACGGAGATCCCCACTGTCTCTATTATTTCCCACTTAATATCCATCATCTTATAGAACAACTGTTGAAAATTTCGGTAGTTTTTAAGAACTCTGCTAGAACACGTGTTCCTTAATTTCTACTAAATGACATGAAATATTATAACTGATAAATATACGTAATGTAAATCCCGTTAATTGCGGCAGATTGGTCTGTTTAATGCAACGCCCTGCTAACAAAGGTACACTGTACCAACTGGCACTTGGTGTAAATATTACATTTGATTAAATATTTTATTATTTTGTTTTGAAAGAGAACTTTTTATTACTTTTATGTACAAAAAATTCAACAGCGTCTGCTCATTCCAGTTTTGTGGCCAGTTCTTTAGCATTTGCCTTTTCCAGCTTGGCAATGCGAGCCACTGACTTTGGATCCAGGACGTTGCCTCCCCAGTGATGGTGGATCTCATCATATCTGTCATTGTAATTGGTCCTGATGGCTTCCACCAGCTTAGCCAGAGCTCCTTTGTCTTCCTATGTGAAGGCCACAGTGGTGCAGGTCTTCCTGTGGACCAGACACCCCAGCCTGGCCTTCCCCTTGACAATGCAGTAGGGAACCCCCACCTTACGACACAGGGCAGGCAGGAAGACAATCAGCTTAATGGGATCCACATCATGTGCACTCACTATGAGCTGAGCCTTCCTGTTTTCTGCCCAGGTGGTGACATATTAACCCCTGCTTGAGGGACAGGCGGCCTCTTAGTGGGGACATCCCCTTTGCCAGCAGCTTTCTTCTCAGCCCGGGCCAACAGTCTCTGTTTCTTCTCTTGCTTTGTCTCTGTATCTGTATCTGAGTGTAAGCGTTGCCGTTTGATGGTCCAAGGCCTGGGTGAGCTGGTTAATCACAAGAGGCACTTTGAGACGTTTATAGAGAGTAGCCCTTTCCCGCTGCGGCCAGATGTAGCAGGGCGATTTGACAAAGCAGGGGAGATCCCTTTTGGACTGGGTCTCCTGTCCAATGCCAAAATTCTTGGGCCTTTCCTCAAACAGGGGATTGACTACCTTCTTGGTCCCCCGTTTCTTCACAACAGCAGGAGCCGGGGCCCCCTTCTTCCCCTTAGCCTTCTTTCCTTTTGGCATCTTGGATGTCTGGAGGGGAGGGTACATTTTCATTACATTTTTAAAGAAGGAAATTGGAGAGCTAGATTCACATTTATTTTAGGGCCCTGTTAAGAACAAAAGTATATACTATGTAATGTTTTGGACCTAACATTATCCCCCAAATTTGCCAAAATTAGCTGCACTTTTAGGTTTTTGTAGAAGAAAGGAGGACCATAGAAAATCTAACTTGAGAAAACAGAAAAAACTATGAAGTATCAGTGTGATTTTCACTGTTCATTCACCCGCCCATCCTCCATGTATCCTTTCACTTATTTAGTATTTATCAAGCGCCAACAATATGCTAGGCATTCTGGTTGGTATCAGGTGAAGCAAAAGACATGGGTCCTTGTGGTGTTTATACACTAATGAGGTAGAAATATGTTCAATCATATACATACAAGTTAATAAATTTATGATATATTTCAAATTATGCAAATGTTGTGAAGGGAAGGAAGAGGGTTCTCTAAGAAGTAATAAGGGAAGGCCCAATTTAAATTGGAAAGGGAGGCAAAGAAAAGGAAAACACTGTTTCAAAGGGTTACATGCATCCCTATGTTTATAGCAGTATTATTTACAATAGCCAAGATATGGAAGCAACCCAAGTGTCCATCAAGAAGAATGGATAAAGAAGCTGTAATATATATATATTATATATATATAATACAATTATAAAATTATATTACTAATATATATTGCATATATTATATATAGTATTATGTATACACATATATACACACTGAAATATTAGTCAGCCATAAAAAAGAATGAGATCTTGCCATGTGCAACAAGGATGGACCTAGAGGGTATTATGCCAAGTGAAATAAATCAGAGGAAGACAAATACCATACGATTTCACTCAAATGTGGAGTTTAAGAAACAGAACAAATGAACAAAAAAGAGAGACAAGCAAAACCCAGACTCTTAAATACGGAGAACAAACTGGTGGCTGCCAGAGGAGAGGTGGCTGGGGGGAAATGGGTGAAATAGGTGATGGAAATTAAAGAGTACACTTATCATGATGAGCAATGAGTACTGAATAGAATTGTTAGGCCATTATATTGTACATCTGAAACTAATATGACACTACATGTTAATTATACTTCAGTAAAAACAATGGTAGGGGAAGAAGTTTGTATGTGATACAGGGAAGGCCTTTCAGAGGAAGGGATATTTGAACTGAGAAGAATATATACCAATTCCTTTCCTGTTATAACTTATTAAACTTTATCAACTAGTATCACAAGAGTGGATAACATTTTACATATTAAAGCCAGGTGAAAACAGAAGCAAATATAGTATAGATTTTATTTTTATTTATTTTAGAGAGAGAGAACATGAATGAGCACAAGTGGAAGGAGGGGCCGAGAGGGAGGGAGAGAGGGAGAGAGGAGGAGAATCTCTCAAGCCGACTCCATGTGGAGCGCGGAGCCTGACAGTGGGCTTGATCTCACAACCCAGAGATCATGACTTTTTTTTTTTTTTAAGATTTTATTTATTTATTCATGAGAGAGAGAGAGAGAGAGGCAGAGGGAGAAGCAGGCTCCCAAGGAGCAGAGAGCCCAATGTGGGACTCGATCCCAGGACCCTGGGATCATGACCCGAGCCAAAGGCAGACAGACGCTCAACCATCCGAGCCACCCAGGCGCCCTGAGATCATGACTTGAGCCTAAACCAAGAGTTGGACGCTTAACTGACTGAGCCACCCAGGTGCCCCTAGTATAGATTTTTAAAGTACATAATTTGTATCTAGATGGGAATTCACTCACATTTAAGGATTTACTTAAGAGATAGAAGACAATGTTTTCTATTGGTACCCAATATCATAAACTGAAAATAATTTCTTAAAATCCTGTTAAAAGAATCCTAGGAAGGGGCGCCTGGGTGGCTCAGTTGTTAAGCGTCTGCCTTTGGCTCAGGTCATGATCTCAGGGTCCTGGGATCAAGCCCCACACCGGGCTCCTTGCTCAGCAGGAAGCCTGCTTCTCCCTCTCCCACTCCCCCAGCTTGTGTTCCTGCTCTCACTGTGTCTCTCTCTGTCAAATAAATAAAATCTTAAAAAAAAAAAAAGAATCCTAGGAAAGAATTGTTGGGGGCCCATCTTGCCCATATTTCAATTTCTTTCAACACTTTTAATTACATATCAATTACACAAAATTGGATTATGTGTTCTCTGCATAGGATAAATTAGAATAAAATATTTAATATTTATATATCACTTTAGTTAAATTTTTTTTTTTTTAAAGATTTTATTTATTCATTTGAGAGAGAGAATGAGAGACAGAGAGCATG